ACATTTCGCCAGCGCCAGGGCATCTGCGTGCAATGCCACTACTTCCTGCGCGTAGCCGCCCTGGGCGACTACGCCACGCTAGAGGGGGAGGAGGAGGAAGAGGAGGAGGAGGAGGAGGAGGAGGAGGAGGAGGAGGAGGAGAGGAGGAGGAGGAGGAGGAGGAGGAGAAGGAGGAGGAGGAGGAGCAGGAGGAGGAGGAGGAGGTGGAGGAGGAAAACGTGTGGAATCCCAAGCCCTTGGGGCGACAGGTGGTCTAAGTGTGATCTTTTTTCCTTCCACAACCCCTCTTCCTTTCAGGTAAGGAGACCCTCCCCCTCCATATATATATATATATATATATATATATAAAAACTCTTTCTCTCGGAAAGGGACCGATGTGTCAGAGGGTCCTTGTCTCGGCCAGTGGGGGGCCAACTTCTGACACCACTCGCGAGCCCCCGAGGGGCCCGAAGGGGGGCAGACATCGAGGACCCCTCCTCTTTTGACCGACCGCCTTCAAGATGGCACCACGAGGCCCTCCAGGGCTCCCAAGAGGCCCCCAAGAGAGCTCCAAGAGCGCCCCAAGAAACCCCAAGAGGCCTCCAAGAGGCACCCGAGAAGCACCCAAGAGGCCCCGTGAGCGGCCCCCCAAAGCCCAAGAAACTCACCCGAGCAAAATGCCGTCTCGTCCTCGTCCTCCTCCTCCTCGTCCTCCTCGTCCTCGTCCTTGTCCCCTTTTTCGTCCTCATCCTCGTCGACCTCCTCGTCGTTATCCTCCTCCTCCTCCTCTTCCTCCTGTTTCTCCTCGTTCTCCTCTTCCTCCTCGTCCTCCTCCTCGTCCTCTCGTTATCGTCCATATCCTTCGCCCTCGTCCTCGTCAGTTTCCTCCTCCTCCTCCTCCTCCTCCTCTTCCTCCTCCTCCTCCTCCTCCTCCTCCTCCCCGTCCTCCTCCTCGTTATCATCCTCCCCCTCGTCCTGTTACTCCTCCTCCTCTTCCTCCTCCTCCTCCTCCTCCTCCTCTTCGCCGCCCCCCCCCCCACACGCGGGCCCGGAGATGGCCCCAACACGCCGTCGAGGCCGGCCCCCCTCGCTGTTTGACTATGCGTGTCTCTTCCTCTTTCCCCCCGTCCGCTCTCATGGGCATCGTTTCTGGGTGGGCTGGTTGGGGGTACTTTTTGCCGCAACCGCAAGCGAAGGCGCCAGCGGCGAGTCGAGTCAGCCTGGGCTACAAGCGGATCTACCTGCCAGCGCGCGCGCAAGCACCAGCAGAAGTGGTTGGGGATACTTGTTTGGTCAACAGGCTCGCGAGGCGGGCCGAAAGCCGTCCGAACACTAGTCGGGCCGCGACTAGGCAGCGGGAAAAGAAAGGCAAGCGAAGCGAGCGAGCGGGCAGCCACTCAGAAGGGGAGCCAGAACCGAAACTCCCAAACCCGGTGGCGTTGGAAATCCCGGTGGCATCCAGCAACTAAGCGCGACCAAAATGACGCGGCGGCGCGACCATAAACAAGCAAAGGTCGATCGCTCGGTGTGAGCCAGGCAAACAGCATCGTCAGAGACGAACTAGACCGACAGGCACACCCAGACGACATCCGGGAAGTAGAGGACACAAATGCCAAAAACATTGTGTCGGCGCAAGAGTGAAAAAGGGACAACCTCATCACCGACAAAACTGCAAACGACAGTAAAACCTGTAACGCTTATAAAAGCGAAATCGATGCAGGAAAACGTCGGCCAACGAGCGTACAGAGCCACACTTGCCGAATCCGGTGGTTGGGGATACTTGTTTGGTCAACAGGCTCGCGAGGCGGGTCGAGAGCCGTCCGGACACTGGTCGGGCCGCGACTAGGCAGCGGGAAAAGAAAGGCAAGCGAAGCGAGCGAGCGGGCAGCCACTCAGAAGGAGAGCCAGAACCGAAACTCCCAAACCCGGTGGCGTTGGAAATCCCGGTGGCATCCAGCAACTAAGCGCAGCCAAAATGGTTCGGCGGCGCGACCATAAACAAGCAGAGGTCGATCGCTCGGTGTGAGTGAGGCATACAGCACCATCAGAGACGTGGTTGGGGGTACGCGAAGCGTCAAGAGTTGTTCCTCGACTCAGGGGTGCGCGAAGCCTTCCTGAGCTTCAACGAGGGAGCGTCTGGCCACTATGTCGCCAGCGGTTGCCAAACAGCCGTGGTTAACGTATATACCACCGTTACGACCGCAGTCATCGAGCGCGACGCCGGCCTCCTGACCAACGAGGAGGTGTCGAGGCTGTCGAAGGAAGCTGCAGCAGCCCCCCTCGAGGAGCTCACCGTCCGGGTCAAGTGCAAATTTTTCGAGAGGCGAACGCCGCTTAACGGCGCCCGAAACGTTGCGGACTCCAGACTCGTCTTCAAATGGAAGCACCGGGAAGGACCCGACGGCAAGACCGCGAGGAACATCCGGTGCCGCATGGCGCTCGGAGGCTTCTGCGACATGGACGCCGGAGCCCTGGAGACGTTCGTGGGGACAGCGAGGCGTGCGTCACAGCGCATACTGTCCTCACAGGCGGCGCGTCGCCCAGGATGGGTCTACTTCGCCGTGGACGTCGAAGGGCACTCCTGCAGGGCATGACCTATGCCGAGATGCACGAACAAGGTGAAACACCACGCGAGGTGAACTTCACCCTGCCGCCCGGCAGCGCAACCGTCCTCAGGAAGGTGCCCGGCTACGAGTTCTTTGACGAGCGGACCGAGTGCCTGCGCTGAATCAAGCCGGCTACGGGCTGCAAGGACGCACCCCGAGCTTTCTCTATGAAGCCTGCCCGGGCCACGCGCCCACCAGAGTGCAGCACCAAGCCTGCCAGGTGGGGCCTGGAGCTCGATGTCAAGCACGAGGCGTCCGTTGCCGCGACGCAAAGCTTCTGCTCGTGCTGTCCAGGCACGTCGACGATCTAAAGATCGCTGGAAGCAGGGAGCATGTTGACCAGCTGATCGGCCATGTCGAGATCGTCTTCGGCAAGATGGCGGGTGACCACGACGACTTCACCAACTGCGGAGTGCACCAACACTGCGATGCCGACGGCACCGCGGCGCTCGACCAGGGCGAGCACATCGACGCCCTGGCACCGATCAGGCACGTCGGCCTGGTCAAGGCGAAGGCCGACGATCCAGCAGGTCGGCTTCCAGACCTCTTTGTTTCCCTCCTGAGAGCAGCAGCATGCGCTCTGCTCCCCAAGCACCACGTCGCCGTGTACACTGTCGCACTGCAGAGGGCCAAGAGCAAGCTGCTCATCCGCCACGTGATGCAACACAACCCCGTTGTCTTGGCCATGCGGGATATCAAGGCGCGCATCACACTTTCCTCATTGGAGTGTGCTGGCCAACTCTGCGTGCACAACGACGGGTCCTTCAAGAGGGAGGAGTAGACAGGATACGGAATGAGAGGAGATGTGCACATGCGTTTGGGCAAATGCCGCCGCACAAGCAAGTAGGTTTGCCACTTGCTCGTCGCTGTGAGCCGATCGTGCAAGCTCGTGTGCAGATCATCAGTCGGTTCCGAGCTGCTCGCAGCCTGCGGAGCAACGGACGGCTGACAAGCGTACCTCCTCGCGCTCCACGAGATGATCCGTGGACCCGCCTCTTCCGAGGAGATCAGGAAGCTGAGGGAAGAGGGGGGCTGCGCAATGCCTGCAACGCTGGTCGTCACGGCATGTCCGTCTTCACGGCATTGGCCATGAATCCTGTTCGGCCACCGTCCGAAACGAGCATGGCAGACCATTTGTGGTGATTGTCTGTTCAGCTCCGCACCAAGCAGATTGAGGACATGCTCTGGGGCAGAACCCGCGACATGAGGGCCGACCCCATGACCGAGGAGAGCATCAGCCGAGAGTTGATCTTGGACATCATGAGTGGCCAGCTCAGCTACGACCACGACGCCGTCAAGCTGAGCGAGGAGCGGCACAAGAAGACTACGCCTAGCGCCCAGCAGAGCAGTCTCACCAAGGACAAGGGCGACCAGAATGATGAAGTCACCAGTTCGTCCAACATCACGGGCAACGACGGCCTGGGCTCGCAATGACTATGTCATCGCCGCTCATGGCCCCAACGATGGTAAGGGATGACGCAGACGCTCGCATGTCGCGAACTGCGTTCGAAAATGCGACGCAGTAAAGCATGCATGTGACAGGCATGGTTGCTTTCATAAGCTATCCTCGTGGAGCGGCAGGCGTGAGAAAACCTGAGCGTGCAAATTTGCATACTGCCGGCAACTTTACATAAGGCCTCCTTGGTTGGTGCATGGTTCTGACCCATGAGGCGCAACCGTCTCGTTGGAACACCACACTCGAACGGTACCTATGCACCCTATCTGCCTGCTTTCCCGCTGCCTTGTCTGCCGCTGCATCTACTCTAGGTAGCTACCGGCTGTGCCCATTTTGACCCTCGTTTTGCTGCTCCACCGCTGTATTCCGATGTGACGGATTTGTCTTTTTTGCATCTACCCCTTACATCCTTAATCCCCTCCTCCTCCTCCTCCTCCTCCTCCTCCTCCTCCTCCTCCTCCTCCTCCCTGTCCCTGAGATCCGACGTCTCAAATAATGAGATCGTAAAGCAAATCACGCCTAGAGCCCTAAACCCCATCTTTCAACGCCAAGCTTCGAGCCGGATCGATCTGTGAGGTTCCAGGGGCCCGATACATGATGCGGGAACGCCCAGCTCGGATACACATTGAGTCGCCAGGATCTCAGGGTTCCTCCTCTTCCTCCTCCTCCTCCTCCTCCTCCTCCTCCTTCTCCCCCTACCACCTCTCTCCCTTTTCTCATCCTCCATTTCCCTCCTCCTCCTCCTCGCCTCCCTTCCTCCTCATCCTCCTCTCTACTCCCCTTTCCTCCTCCTCCTCCTCCTCCTCCTCTCCTCCTCCCCCCTTGCATCCTCCTCCCCCTCATCTCCTCCCTACACTTGGAGCCCTTTCCTCATCCTCCAACCTTTCCCTCCTCCTCCACCTCCTCCTCCTCCCTGTCCCTCCCCGAGCCCCCATCTCTCCCGGCCCGGCCCCGAGAGCCCGCGCACGAGCTCGGGGTCGGGAGCCGGTCCGACGACCGCCCCGCCCCGCGCAGGCCGGCGGGCGACGGCTGGCGGATGCCCTGCGCCACGGCGACGACGGGCTCGTCCGGGGCGGGGCGCCCGAGGTGCTGCGCCTGCGAGGGGGAGGCGGAGGAGGAGGAGGAGGAGGAGGAGGAGGAGGAGGAGGAGGGGGAGGAGGAGGAGGAGGAGGAGGAGGAGGAGGAGGAGGAGGAGGAGGAGGAGGAGGAGGAGAGGCGGAGGAGGAGGTGGAGGAGGAGGATGAGGATGAGGGAGGAGGAGGAGGAGGAGGAGGAGGAGGAGGAGGAGGAGCCCCCCTCGGCCGACCCAGGCAGGATCGCGTCACGCGTCGCAGAAAGCATCCGGGCGCCAGGGCTCTGGCCAACGTCGGTCTCCGGGGGCCCTCGCTGGGCCTCGGGACCGCCAAGGAACGAGTCGGCCATGTGAGTCTTTTCCGCTCTGTTTAGATAGGCTGTCCAAATCGACGTTTCCGATCTATTTAGACCTCTACGATCTAAATAGACCTCTCCAGTTTTCGGATCTAAATGGACAAGTTTTTTGTTCACACACATTCTTATGATGAGAGGCCGGTCCCGGGGAGCGGGTCGGGACTTCCGGGGACCGGGTGTTGAGAACAGCAGGCCGCCGCATGGCTGGGAAGCTACCCTTCCCTCGTCTTCCCCTGTTTGGGCCTCCTCCTCCTCCTCCTCCTCCTCCCTCCCTGCCTCCCTCCCTCCCTCCCTCCCTCCCTCCCTCCCTCTGGGACTTCCGGGGACCGGATATTGAGAACAGAACGGCCGCCGCATGACTGGGAAGCTACCCTTCCCTCGTCTTCCCCTGTTTGGGCCTCCTCCTCCTCCTCCTCCTCCTCCTCCTCCTCCATCTCCTCCTCTTCCTCCTCCTCCTCCTCCTCCTCCTCCTCCTCCTCCTCCTGGGGACCTTGGTATTGAAAAACATCAGGCCGCCGCATGGCTGGGAAGCTGCCCTTCCCTCGCCCTCCCCTGTTTGGGGCCTCCCGGGAGGCCCGCGTCGCCACGGCGTGGGATGCGCCTCGAGAGGGCGGTCGGCGCGCGCCCTGCGAGAGGTCCCAGGAGCAGCTGGCGGATGCCCTGCGCGGCGGCGACGACGGGGCGGATGCCCCGTCGTCGCCGGGTTTACGCTACGTATTAGCGTTCGCGGGGTTTGCAGCGGCCGGAATCGGGGTGCGCATGTGAGTGCTGTCGGACCCCGCATCGTTCGTCCTGGTATCGTTCGGGCTGGCCAATGCGTTGTGCTTTTCGTCTTGAGGGTTTAGGGTTTAGGGTTCAGGGTTCAGGGTTTGGACGGCACCTGGCGGATGCCCTTCGGGGCGGGGCGCCCGAAGGGCTGCGCCTTCTGCGATCTGCGGTCCACCCGTATAGTGAGGGTCCTCGGTAAGGGTGCAAGGGATGGGGCGCCCGTGCCGAGGTTCTTCGAGCGGGGCTGGCCATCAAAAGTGCGTGAGGATGGGCCGACGATGACCGAAGAGGCAAGGACGCAAGGGTACCCTTGGGAAGTCGATCGTCCTTACGATCAGGGTAGACTGTATGATCCTCAGAACATGTGTTAGCGCAAACGTGCGCTTGTCCACCAGAGCCCTTCACCACGATACAGTCGGTGCGACGTGAACCAGAACAGACTGCGCGCTATCGGTGGAGCCGATGCGGGTAACACACACACACACACCTGGGCTAACACACGTCCTGAGGATCACCGGTAAGACGAAGCCAGGACGAGGACAAAGTCAGCTGAGGATAGATCGAGCATCTCTGAGATCTGGCGGCTTGGGAGGATGTATCAGGCGCCGCGTCCTTCTCCGAGCGTTCCCGAAAGCTCTGAGAGCGTTCTGGAACGCTCTGGACGGATTTGTTCCCTGTCCCAGCCCCGCCAGATCCAATCGGGAGCGGCAAAGAGGGGGGTGTCCAAGAGAGGGGGGTGCAAATCATGACCGGCGGCATGTGCGCGGCCCAGCGGGGGGGCCAGGGACGTAATGAAATAAGAAGAGGCGCCATGAAATCTGAGGAAAAATCATGGCCCGCGCCATGAAATCCACCCCCCCCTAGTCATCACCCCCCTCTTTTCCGCTCCCGATCCAAGCCACCCCCCTGGATCCCAACCAGCCTGCTCCACCGCTGATTCTCCACATTCCCTTTGCACTCGGCGTGGCTCGTGTGGAGTCGGACCGTCCCTCGCTCCCTCCCTCCCATCCTACTTCCCTCCGACGCTCGATCCCTCTCATCCTTTTTCTTCTCGTCCATCCCCCCCCGCGGCCTCTCCCTGCCTCCTGGAGCCCTTGAGGAATCCCCGCCCTCCGGCCCTCCTGCCCTCCCTCGTGTCGTGGCCATCGATGGGCCAGTTTTCCACCACCACCACCGCCATAGGTAGGAGAGAGGGAGGAGGAGGAGGAGGAGGAGGAGGAGGAGGAGGAGGAGGAGGAGGAGGAGGAGGAGGAGGAGGAGGAGGAGAAGGGGGAGGAGGCGGAGGAGGAGGAGGATGAGGAGGAGGAGGGGGAGGAGGAGAAGGGGGGGAGGAGGAGGAGGAGG